TTATAAACTATTCAGACTCCTCCACACCAGGCAGAACAGACATTAACTTTGTCAACTGTCTCCATAGCCGCTTTACTAGATCATATGTTTACAGCATGTCTGATTGGCTGCACCATCTGCCTCAGGCTTGCTTGCACGCTCCCTCTTTGTTCTACGGAAACCCTCTTTGACATTGGGCAGCAGCAGAGACTTTAAAAGGTCTTCCTCAACTAAAAGCCTATTCGCTGTAAGGCTGACATTTTATGAGCTCTGTTAGTTAAAAGACTGGTAGAACAGAGATGGGTTAAAGAACTTACTGTGGTGGAATATACAGAATGTGAGTGTGGACTAAATATGACTGAAATTTATTTTCAAAGGCATATGCTCAGACAACGTTTCAAAGAAGAGTTCTGTCAAGGGCAGAATTCACGACCCACCAAATGGTTGTTTCAAAGTGATCTATTCCTTGCAAGTGGGAAATTCCAAATATAGTCTTGTAATGTTGCTTTACTCCTACATATAGCCTAGAAGTCCAGTCTAGAGAACATTGCTGTGGGCTGTCTTTAACCAGCTACTAAATCATAAAGGAAAAAGTCAGAGAGAATATAATTTTATTAATTTTTATTTTCTTTGGTAATTGAGGGCCATTGTAAAAGGTATAATGTGTATGCTCTGGTTTGGTTTTGTGTTCCTGTTTGTCTGCATTTCTTATTAGGTTCCTTAGTTAAGTTCTCTTGTTACTGTTCAGGTCTCTGTTCTCATTAATGAATGGATTGATTGAATGGATTTGGAGTTTAAAGCCTGCTATTTGAATTGTCTTTGTGAGTGCTACTTGCATGGGACAAAAGGTTTATGCTATACATTTTAAAGCGATAGTTCACCTCTACTAAAACAATCTTTATCACTCCATCATTTCAAATTCCTTTCTCTCTTCTGTGGAACATGAACGATATTTTGAAAAATGTATCAATGTTTTGTATCCGTAAGTCAGTGGTAGCCAATATTCATCTTCCTCCCTCCCTCCCTCCCTCTCCAGGGTTACACACACACAAACACACACACACACATATATAATATATGGCCTACTGTGTATATATATATATATATATATATATATATCCATTTAAACAGTTAAAATATACTTTTAAGGCACTCAGTGAACAGATTTTATCAGTGCGTGTTAAAACTAACCTTATTAATTAGTTTACATTATTAAACAATTTCTTTTATTGTGACATTGCCTTATATAATGTTTGATAACATTGTAGCTCAGACGATGAAGCATAATGCAAGCGATTATAAGGTCTATTGAAATTTTACGCTAAAACAAAACTGTGAAGGGGAATATATTTGTAGTTGCCACTGACAATATGTTTCCATAAATGTAGAGCTCTCAGAAGTTCTGCAGGCTAAAGATTCTATTAATAGGATCTTGTCCAATTCTGTGAACAAACTTGAAGTCCAGGCCAAGGCCATTGGTCTGCAGGTGCAAGTCTATCAGTATTTCTTATGCAAGTTTCTGTGGTAGAATGGGACCTATTATTTTAAATCTTCTAGTTCCCTTATAGTTCAAAAACAGCATTTCTGAACAAAAGGTTGATGTCTTCTTCACCCTTAGAATTTCACTAGCTTCTGAATGAACTTTGCCAGAGGCTGAAACGCAGCGGTTTCAGCTGCTTTTTTGATTGATCCCAAACAGAAACTATGAGAGTCTCTCAAGAACAATGGATACTGATCCAGTGAATGAAATGAAAGCAAAGTCATTCTTGACATCAGCACCACTAGCTATACCCTCATCCCACATTAGGTCAAAGGATACTGGCTATGAGAGTTTTTGATCATCCACAAGAAACTATAAATGCTAGTTTGGCCTCTGCATCTACTGTCCAAAACACCCTGCAGCATTTATTTTGTGTCCTCCTTATGAACAACCAGGTCCCCTTTGACAATGATCTTCCATGATGAGCCACGGCACTTGCAATGGATATATTTGTCCAGAGGTGGTTTAGAGTTGTGCTTCGGTAAGCGAGCCAAAAAATAAAAAAATAAAAAATAAAAAAAAATAAACAAAAACAGTTTGGTTCATGACTGTACCTACATTGCTGACAAAATCCTAGTGCTCTATGTCAATTAACCCATATATGGTTGGTCAGTGTAAGTGACATAGGCCAAATATGTTTAAGGACATGCCTCTTCCTCAAGGCTGTTTTGTAAACAAGTGTATGATCTTGTAGATTGTCATATGAAGTGTTCCTCTAAGCACGTGAGCATGTGAGTTAATGACAGAAGACGTCTCATCAGGGCTAAACAACAAGGTAGACTGACAGACTGACAAATGTCTTCAGCTTCCCTGTTCTGGTCATTTCAAACCAATCAACAAATTGCTTTCAGATAGTTGAACTGCTGTGTAAAGATTTCAAATATCTTTAGGGTTCACCGATTTATGTCAAATGAAAGTCAACATGTTAAAATGTGTTCCCCAAAAGGCACACACTCTTGAGATCATCTATTATTTAATGTAAGGGTTTTATGGACCCCTGTGGGTCTGTGAAGGTACTGCATAGAGAGAAGGTACGGCATAAAGGACTAAATTATGTAATAATGCTAGTTTTTTATTTATTTATTTTCTACATTTAGGAGTTCTTGGGTCTACTGAGGGCCTTTCAACTGAGGAAGCGAAGCGACTGCAAAAAGTGCAAGCATAACACGAGCTTACGCAGTGTTCGTTCCCGTTTATCTCCAAGGTTACATTGCTAACTGAAACGTTCCCTTTCGATAACGGTTCACTCACATTGCGTCAATAGCTGATGCTATGGAGAATGCAATCCAACAGCACTGTGTCATAAGTGCACGACTGTCCAAGCCAAAGGCAGAGAATAGGCCCTGCGAGTCTGGCTCAGCTCTCAGGGATGGCTCCGATCCGGAGGGCCTCAACAGTGGTACTCCGGGAGCTCTGACTGACCTTAGACTCTGCCTTGGGGTGGGGCTGGGCAGGTGTGGGGGGCACGCCACAAAAACCTCTGGAAAAAAATGGGCGGGGGGCTCGGGGCTCACTGGCAGCTTATCGACTGCCTTTGAGAGGACTCTGGTGAGCTCGGAGTCCAGCCAGGGCTGAGAATCATCAGCACTACAATCCTCAGTGAGGTTCAATCACTTCTCTGCATCTGAAGCAACCAGGGACATGGCATCATCTTTCTCAGACCCTCGAAACAAGACCAATCCACCCACACCGGAAGAGGTCTTCGCAGGTAAACAGCACAAGGGAATCCTCTTGCTTTGGGGAGAATGAGACATGCGGGATGTGGGCCGGCGTGAGCTCTCTAAGTCCCGTTTGCCAGGCCCCTCGACTCTGACTTTCTTCCTCCTTGGCTTGTGAGAGGAGAGGGTAGAGAAAGGATGAGCATAAGATTACTTCTGTTACAGAAAGTGATCCATGAGTGCAGCGAGGTGAGACATTAGTGGTGCAACAATTTGCAACAAACATCAATTGAAATGCTCTTTTATCGTTAGTAAACTTGCTCAATCACTCGCCGGGTGGCCACATGGGGGTGGTGCCTCAAAGCCGAGTTAATGATATCGCTGCTGGGCTCTTCAAAACGCAAACAGGTAGGCTTCTTTTCTTCGTGAGATCAGTGAGGTGATGGTCTTCACACTTGAGTCAAGATTCTGGTGAAATGGCACTTATGTAGTTTGGCTAATGTAGGCAAATGTACCATCCCATTTGTTGGCTGCGCTGAGACGCCATTGGTCTGTGCAGTTGCACATGATTCATGATTCAACATGATTCAGTCAGGCTTTGTCAGAGACAGAGATTTCCCATCAGCTGTCAATGTAATGTGAGTGAACCGCTATCGAAAGGGAACCCTGATTTAATGTAGTACAACAAGTTACTTATCTAAACAAAGTTGGCGATTTAACCGGAAAATAATTCTAAGCTAAATAAAAATGTATTGTAAGAATTTAAATAACAACAAAAGTTGAAATATGATAGTTAAAAAATATTAGCAGAGAAATTAGAGCTAGACAACTAGAGTTAACATAGCCTACACTGGTGATTCATGCAGTTTAATAGAGAATCTCCAGTGCATGCTATTTAGCAGTCTCGGGAAGTTTATTTTAAAATTAGAATTTATATTATATTTATATTAACCGTGAAGTGTGAAGAGAAACTGTTCAACTCTTCTTTACTTTACAACAGGATTAGCCTAGTGAACCTGTAGCCTAAATAAATAGGTCTTATGATAAATTACAAGTCGAAGAAAGAAAGTGTAAAAACTTTTTACAGATTGTGTTGAGCCTGAGATGTGTAATGTTAATTTATTTACTGAATTATTAATCCTAATCGATTACTAATAAAAGTAGAAGGCAAGTAACTGATTTGTCTCTGTGGTTGGTTAGAGTGCCACCTGCTGAGGAAAAATAAATGTTGACGAATGATGTAAAATGCTGCTCTCACTGCACTGCCATTCAGTTTTCCAAGAAAATATGGACTTTGTGTCGACATTTGGTGACATGCAATAAGTAATACATTGTCTAGGTAGGAGGATAGGTTGGATATCAAGATATCAAAATTGCTTTTCCAGCAGGAGCCTTACTTTAAAGGTGTTAATCAGCAAGTGAGACAATCAGAAAAGTGAGTATAACATTTACTGCGAGCAAACTAGAAGTCAGTTGTAGCTAGTTCATGTGTCCTTTAGCATTAAGTATCTAAAAGGTATAAACGCTTATATTGTTTTTTTTTTTTTTGCTTAGCGTAATTGTACTCCATACACATGTCAAACTATTTGACCTAATTATATATATATATTATTATTTTTTTTTTCAATCAGACTAGGCTTTACAATAAGCACCCTAGATTTAAACTTTAATTGAAAAAAGAAAAAGAAAAAAATACATTTACCGTTACCATTCCAGAATAGAACACACAGAACTGTATCGGATCTTTAAAAGGGGCAATCTGATTGGTCCGTTTTAGAGGCGTGGGACGTTTGCGTCAGGCAGAATCTGCTCCCGTCAAACACAAACTAGATTTTCAACTACAGCACCCAATAAACTGAAAGGAGTCTTATCTGTTACCGCAATGTTTTGAAGTGAGCAATGAATATTTGATTGGATTTCGACTTAATTTGGCAGAAATGTACCTACTCCCTATTTTCAGATCTGCTCCACGCATATTACAAACTAATAGTTTTAGAGCTTTATCATCCTGCAAAGTGAGTGCAAGTTTGACCGAATTACTCATTTCTCTTTGACATTCCTTTATTTTGTTCTTTCACTTTTTTAGTATAAGATGGCTTCCATAAAACACAAGAATGCGAAAAGAATAGAAGGTCTGGACAAGAATGTATGGTAAGAATCAAGCTTTATTTGAAAAAAAAAAAAAAAAAAAACTTTCTCACAGACATGTGTTAAATGTTCTGAATAGTGTGTCGTGTTATTTAGGGTGGCCTTCACGTCAGTGGCAGCAGACCCTTCCATTGTTAATCTTGGACAGGGTTATCCAGACATCCCTCCTCCCTCTTATGTGAAAGAGGGTCTCGCTCAGGCAGCAATGGTAGACAGGCTGAACCAGTACACACGTGGCTTTGTATGTTCTATCCACACTTTATTATCATCCTGCATTATGTGTTGATAAAGCACCCAAATGGTTATTTTTGTCTGTTTTCAGGGCCATCCAACACTGGTTAAAGCCCTGTCAAAAGTATATGGAAAAGTCTATAACCGTCAGCTCGACCCCTTTAAAGAGATCCTGGTAACAGTGGGTGGATATGGATCTTTGTTCAGCGCTATGCAGGCTCTAGTTGAGGAGGGAGATGAGGTGAAAACATAAAAGCATATTTAGTACTCATTGTACTTAGCATTTCACTAGATTATGATTCACTCACTCTCCATTTTCTCCATTCAGGTTATTATTATAGAACCTTTTTTTGACTGCTATGTTCCTATGGTGAAAATGGCAGGTGCCAAACCTGTTTTCATACCTTTGCGACTGGTAGGTTAGCCTTCTCTATTAAAGTTTATTATGAAAACACAGCATAAAACATAACACTTCAGTGATCTGTTCTGTAGAAGTCACCCGCAACAACCAGTGTAAATAGTGCTGACTGGGTTCTGGACCAGGAAGAACTTGCTAGTAAATTCAACTCCAAGACCAAGGCCATCATCATCAACACTCCTAATAACCCTATTGGAAAAGTAAGGTGACGTTTTGCATTTAGTTCCAAAATGGCATATTAATATCCTAAAGCTCTCTTCCACTCCCAGATATTCAGTAGGAGCGAGTTGCAAGCGATTGCAGATCTCTGCATCAAACACGACACACTGTGCTTCAGTGATGAGGTATATGAATGGCTCATATATAAAGGCCATGAGCATGTAAAGATAGGTATGTGATATTTCTCCAGTTGTGCATCTTATCTTTTGTGTAATGGATTACATGTGCTATTAAGAGGTGATGACTCTGCAGTATTCTCTCTGAACAGCAACCCTCCCTGGAATGTGGGACAGAACCATCACTATCGGCAGTGCAGGGAAAACATTCAGCGTGACTGGATGGAAGGTATTTAACCATTATCTTCATTGTTCATAGTTCATATCTGGCTTTACCTTACCTTAACTATTTACTTACCCTCCTCCAGAAAATGTTAACCCTACCCATCCCTTGTTATTTTTCTCTTTGGAATAAATAGAGATTTTTAGACTTTAGATTTTTTACCTTTACTTCAGTCTCCAAAAAAGTGCAAAAAAAAAAATCAATAAAAACAACATACAATGTTGAAAAGAGTTTAAAAAATGCATCATGGCAAGTTTGATGGCAACGCATTATGGAGTTTAAGTTCCCATTCTTTTTCTCTGTATGGGGAATGATTTTTAAGAATAACATATAAACCTTTAACAGACTTATTGTGAGCTATGAGGTGGTAAATGGTGATAAATGCTTTTGCTAAAGCCATCAACACACAATGAATCTTGGCGAAGAACTACATTAGCCACATAATCTCCAGCACTCAAAGAACCAAAACAAACAAATTTTAATCAGTGGCAATTTAGGGGCCTAAAAAGCAATTTTTGGAAAACTGTTTTCAAAAGGGTCTTTTACACAAAACCGTTTTCTACTAAAAAAATTTTTAATGCATTTTGGTCATTCATTTAGACGACAACAGCGTTGTGGGGGCCTGAAAACAAACTTTTGAAAACCGGTTTTATAGTGCGAGTTTAAAAAAAGTTACTCTTAGTTACTCTAAGTTATACTCTTTTCTCTTACGAGAGTACTCCTGTTGTGAAAGCTAGCTTACGCTATGGGAAAATCCCTTTTCTCGAGAATACTGAAGCTGAAAAATGATCGTATAATTTTTCCTATATGTAAAACGCATTGTTGCACAGAGCAGAGCTATGTGAGGCAGCTCGCGCGCCTATTCGTCGCTCTGTGGCAAATGCTGAAACCTATCGGTGGACTGGTCACTGCTGAAATAGGCGTGGCTTATCCCTATATAAGCAGAGTCTAGATAGGTTGTTCTTCGATTTTTTTTTCTTTTTTCATCTCTTCAGCGAAGTGATCTCTTCGAGCCATCTGCACTGCTGTTCGAAGCCACCATCGCCACTTCTTTGCCGTTCCTGCTGCGCTATCCGGCTCGTATATCCTTTTAATATTTGCTTTTCTACTTGTCTTAAAGAGCCGAGGTGTTGTTTCAAATGCCTCGATTCGTCAAGTGCCCCCTCAACGACGAGGACCGCCACATTCTGTGCATTTCCTGTCTGGGGAAGAACCATTTCCGTCGGCGGCTGCTCGGAATGCGACTCGATGGAATTGTCGACCTCGACTCGCCATCTTCCAAGTGGATCCTGTGACTCCGCTTCTCTCTACTGGGCTGTGCCGTAAAAAGCTCCATTCACAGACGATGCCCAAGGCTACCATTGTGAGCGAATACACGCTGGCGCCTTCCCCGTTTGCATCACTCTCTGTTTCCCCCGTCTCGATCGCGGCCGGTCAGTCTGTTCCGCCCGCTGTGCTTCTGGAGTCTGAAGGGGACGGATGATGCCTGCTCGCTCACCGCTTCAAGCACGAACCGGGCGCCACCCCTTCCGTGCTGACATCTGGTGAAGTGTGGTCGAGTGTGGACTTACAATGCTTACGACATGACCAGTCCACTAATAAGAAGCAGCATTTGCCACAGAGCCACCAATAGGCACGCAAGCTGCCTCGCCTAGCTCTGCTCTGCTCTGTGCAACAATGGGTTTTACTTAAAGGAAAAATTAAAGGATGATTTTTTTGGCTTCTGCAAGAAAAGGGATATTCACTTAGCTTTAGCTAGCTTACGCAACACTCGTTCCCTCTTCTAGAGAGAAACGAGGTTACATTCATCTCTGTGTAAACTATAAAAAAGACATACTAATATAACTAAGAACTATACTAATATCGTCTCGGTATAAACTCCAAAAACACAAATTAGTGAAAACTGTGATGTCATGCGCATGATGTGTTCAATCTATATGGGCGTAGAGTTTCTTTACAAAGTGACATCGCCAACTACTGGCATGGCATGCAAAATACAGCTTTTTTTTTTCTTTTTTCCTTTTTGTGGATCCGTGTTAAACAGGATCCACAAACATTGTCGTCTGTACGTGATAAATGCCAAGGAAGAACATTTCTGGTTTAATATATAATGTTGTCATGTAAACACACCCTAATTCGACAGTGGTTCCCTCAAGATTTTTCCCATGGGTTTTATAGTATTTTTTTTTTTTTTCTTCAATTTACGAGTAAAATAAGGTCTGTGGTAAACTTGTAGAAACTTTGCTCTGCATAAAATTATCAAAAACGTGAATTTTAAAGCAGTGGTCATTAAAAAATATAAGGAAAGTGATAAAAACATTTTTGTGTGTGCAGTTTATGTACTATACTAAGATACTTTTTTTTTCAGTTGGGTTGGTCAATCGGGCCTGAACACTTGATCAAACACCTGCAGACTGTAATGCAAAACAGTCTCTATACGTGTCCGACCCCATTACAGGCAAGTTTTGTCTGTGCTATTGATTTTTACAGCGTTGCAATGCACTATTCTTAGTATTCTATAGGTTTGTGACATAATTGTACTGAACAATAGGAGGCTGTTGGCCAGGGTCTTCTTCGGGACTATGAGCTGATGGGTCAACCCGACTGCTACTTTTCCTCTCTAGCATTAGAGCTGGAAAGCAAAAGAGACCGTATGGCAGCCATGCTGAGACAGATTGGCATGACTCCAGTGGTCCCTGAGGGAGGATACTTCATGATAGTGGATGTCACAGCACTCAGTAAGTGGGTTGAAGGGTTGAAGTCATGTATGTTAATAAGATTATATTTACAGTGGCAAAGGGGACATTGGTTGTGGGTGGTTTAATCTGATTGGTGTTGTTCTGTCTTGTCTGCTAATTATAGATCAGGACCTGTGACATATGGGAGACGAAGAACCTTATGACTACAAGTTTGTCAAATGGATGATAAAAGAGAAGGTGCTCTTTTTTTTATTTTAGGAATATATAATATAACAGAACAAAGCATAGTGATTTTCTTTTTCTTTTTAAGAAACTGGCTGCAATTCCTGTAACAGCTTTTGTGGGGGAAGATTCAGTAAAGCAGTTCGAGAAATACATTCGTTTGTGCTTTATCAAGGTAAGAAATGGGTTTACGTCAGGCTTTTACTGTAAATATACAAAAGATCATTCGGCTACCTACAGACCACCAAATCTATATTTAGCTGTATTTCCTTTCTGTATCTGTCCGAATGTTGCAGAGATCATTTTTTTTTATAACAAATGACATTAAATGCCTCACCAGTGCTAATAGTATGTAATGGATTTTGTTTTGTTTTTTTCACTACAGCAAGACAGTACCTTGGATGCAGCAGAAGCCATTCTGAAGAGCTGGAACAAAAGCTGATTTGTGAAAGCCTGATAATCCAGTAATAAATGTGCAGCACCTGTCAGATTTGTAAAATATTTTACTTGTATATCGTCGTTACATCCTATCACAATGACTAAACAGTGAAGTGTCTTTTAGAGCTTGTTACAGTTTTCTGGATCAGTCACTTTTAAAACTTGTTGGGATTATGATTCAATTTTAAATTAATATTTTGTCACAGGCTTCTAGTTGTATTACATTTACTGAATTTAATGCTTGTATAAATAAAATCCTCTCTATCTGGGAAGTCACAATTTATGTCTGGATTTTTTAAGGTACCTTGTCTACATAAGTCAGTGGTGGAATGCAACGAAGTACAAATACTTACTTTACTTAAGTAAATTTTTCACGTATCTTTGAATAAATAGGGCATACTTTTTACTTTTACTTCGTTACATTTTGCAGCCATTATTATACTTTCTACTCCACTACATTTCTACAACTTCTGTTACATTATTTCATTTCATTTTCTGATCAGTTTTTCCCCTGCCAAAACGTAATCTGACCGTTTGTTCGTTGCCCGTTTGTCTCACCAGTGACGTTTGGGTGCCATAGATACATCAACCCGTTCACAATAAATGCGTCTCGCACGCAGTGTGTTTATCGTGCAATTTATACGTGAAAATTAGTTTTTACGTGCATAGGAAACGCACCGTATACGTTTGTTTAGGATTATGGCAAACCAAGAGGTTCAGAATTACGTCATAAATTAATCGCGTTACTGCATGGTTTATATTGCCTAATTGCAAGCTTGTTTCAGAAATGGTGACAATTTTTTTTTTCCATCATTATTGAACATCATTATAGGAGTATTAGGTTGAATGAGTTAGAATTAAATGTTTTATTAATCATTAGAAAATATACATTGTTATGCAAGTACTTTTACTTTTAATACTTAAAGTACATTTAAAATCAGGTACTTTTTACTATGGTTGCCATTGTGTTACTTCTACTTTTACTAAAGTAAATATTTATCTGGTTACTTGTACTTTTACTTAAGTACTGAGATTCAGTACTTCCTCCACCACTGTATAAAGTTAACTGCACACATACACTGCCGTTATAACATTTGTCAATATTGAAGACTGCAGTTGATCCATTGCTGAAAATTCAGCTTTGGATCACATTACATTTAAAAATGTATATATATATATATATATATATATATATATATATATATATATATATATATATATACAGTATATATATATATATATATATATATATATATATATATATATATATATTTACCCCAAACGTTTGAATGGTAGTTTAGGAAAATGTGTAAAAGGTGCTGTTAGTTCAGGGCTTGTGAGATAGAAACAGCATGTTTAATGTAGCACCAATCTAATTTAGCTGCATTTCTAATACCAGTTTCCATCAGTATATATCACAATTTCTGTGACCCTCCATGCAAAGTCAGGAATTATGTAGTCCCAGTGTTTGGATTATTTTACAATGTTTAATATAAATTACATTTGCCCAGTTCAACTCATATCATAGCTATAATGCAGGAGTTAGAAAACATGAAAACAGGTTTGAGTCTGACCTGCAACATGTTCTGGTCCTATTTCCCTTCTCAATGTTTTTCTTTTATTCTCCAATGTCTTGTTTTTTCCCCCAAGACAATATCACTTGTCAACCTCAAGATGGCATTATTCAACCGAAAATGTTTCATATAGTTTGAACATTAACCTGTTTGAACATTAACAGACTAAAATGCATGATTGAGCTGTTTTAACTAAAAGCAACTTGCACAGAGATATCTTAAAATATGTCAGTACCATTGTTTCGCCTGATTCACACCAGTAATTTTTTCAGGGCACATTTATAAAAGCTACTTAAATGTCCCAATTGAACTAATCCTAGCTTAATCTAAGCCCTGTCTATGAAACCAGGCCTGAGTAATATAAATGATATTATCAGACAATTAATTCGTATTTGACTTCTTGGGTCTTTTCTGTTAACAGCAAATGTTCAATGAAGATAAAATCTCCCTGTAGTCAAATATTGTAGCCTTTAAAACTCATCTTCGATCACCAAATGTATGCGGTTCTATAAATATACAAATTAGCTCTGCCTCCACTCACTCACACCAGATCACACATTGACGTGACTAGTGTTTCTGACATCAGAAACACCAGCGATTTCACACCGCGTTTTTGAGACTCTTTGGTTGACTGCAGTATTTAAGAGAAAATACTGAGCAGTTGACATGCATTTGTACATGGTTTGTCTTAAAGCAATTTGAACACCACATTGACACATAAACATTAAAAGCTTGATTTTCACCACAGGGGGACTTTAAAGTCTTGTATCAGTAATACCCTAATTTCCTCCTATATTTTTGTTCACTTCCTTTCAGCAGATTAAAAAAAAAAAAATCTCTGAAGCACTAGCAATTGAAGGGCGCAGCCTCTCCTCTCCAACCTATTTCCCAGCTTCCCTTTCCTCTTCCTGTCTGTAAATCTGTCCCATGTCCTGACTATCCCCTAGAGAGCATGTAGCCTATGACAGTTTTTCAAGATAGCATCTGGTCACTTACTATCAGACAGAAAAATCATATTTACAGCACTGTTTAAAAGTCTGATCAGCTTTGAAAATCTGGTTTAATCTAATTTAAACCTGAAAATTAAGTCAGACATGCCCCTTTTTTATTATAGGCTTACTAATATGTTCTGGATGATATACAATAAATATTTATGATCTGTCACTAATCAATAAGTACACTTTGACATTTGCCCTGTGAACTCGCAACTCGTTGTATAAATGGTCAGATGATCTAGCGTCCACTGAATCACAAGATGCTCTTTGGAATATTCTCAAATCATGCTGTATAACATGGTGCGTTTTCAAACACCCGACCCTTTTCACCAAATAGTTTGTTTTTCAAATACCTCAGAGGGAGTATTTCATGTGTTTATGATACTGTGCAGAGGTTGTTAAATCACATTAGACATTACCTTAATCTTGCACACAGAGGATGGAGTTTTGAAAGTTCACAGAGTGGAAGAAGCTTTCCATGGGAAAGCCTAGTTACTCATGTAATACACACCCAGACAGGACCAGTTAGACCCGCAGAGCGATAGTTTGCTTCTTCCCTGCAGCAGTCAGGTGAGCACAGGTGACTCAACCATCAACTGCTTCTGCTTTTTGCAAATGTCACATGCCACCCACTGCAGGAAACGTTTTTTAAAAAAGTAGCTTATTGGTAATCCTCTAGACTGGTTTGCATTTTGTCACTGATACAAAATCCCATTGTAACAGCAAGTACTAAACCTATACCAACAGGTTTGACCAGACAGGTACATCAGTCATCTTCCACCTGTTGTAAGATTTACATTTATCAGATATAACCCAACAGTAAATCTGCCAATTCTTATTTTATAACAGACAGCCCACCAACAGGTTTAAATGCAAAGTTATATTTATGCAACATTGTCTGTCCAAATGTGCAATCAAATGTGAACTATTAAACATGTCTGTTGTTATGGCCAGCCAATCATTACATTTTTTGATAAAGCATGCTTATGGTGTCTATTAATCCAACACACACACACACTAAAAGAAAAAAAAAATCTAAATAAAAGTGTAAAAAAACAAACAAAAAAACAATTACACTAGATTTTGTACACAAGACAACATTGTTTGAGCCTGCCCTAATAAAGGAGTAGTTCACTTAAAAAAAAACAAACAAAAAAAACTTTTGCTGATAATTTACTCACCCCCATGTTATCCAAGATGTCCATGTCATTCTTTCTTCAGTCGAAAAGAAATTAAAGTTTTTGATGAAAACAATCCAGGATTTTCCTCCTTATAATTTACTGGTAACCAAACGGTTCAAGGTCCAAAATACAGTTTCAGTGCAGTTTCAGGTGAGCATTTGATTTTATAAAACTTAAACTTTGTTTGACCTTGAACCAAAAGACCCATTGAAGTTCCCATTGAAGTCCATGGAGAAAAATCCTGGAATGCTTTCATCAAAAACCGTAATTTCTTTTCGACTACAGAAAGAATGACATGGATATCTTGGATGGCATGGGGGTGAGTAAATTATCAGCAAAAGTTTTTTTTTTTTTTTTAAAAGTGAACTACTCCTTTAAGTCTAATTTTGAAGTGCATGTAAACCATAGACTGCAAAGAAAAAAAAATGTGCACAATTAAGTCCCTTTTTCACACAGTGCGTTGATCCCGGGAAATTGCCAGAACGCCTTCTGTGTGAACGCAAACACGACCCGGGATTGATACCGGGACTGATGCCGGGTTGGGGACCTAGTAACATTGCCGGGATCAGTCCCGGAACGCGCGCTGTGTGAACAAAAGCCAGGACCAATGCCGTAAGGGGTGTGTCATATGACGCTTGTGCAATCGCGCGACTCTGTTACTCTTCGAAGAAAGTGGAAACTGGAGCGTAGCAGAGACCAGGAGGTCCTCACTATCTGCACTGAAGCTGAGATCGTTCACCAGCTTTGTGGAACGGTATGCGCGAGTACATGTTTTCGACGCGTCCGTTAAACGTCTCACCCTGACGTCATGCGTCTTCCCAGGATTTTTACGGGTTGTGTGTGAACGCACTCACAGATCCCGGCAAATCACTGGCAGTGTGAATGAACCGAAATCAAAGAATCCCGGGACAAATGCCGGGTCACATTATCCGTGAATTTTCCGGAATCTCTGTGTGAAAGGGGCTTTAGTTGATAGTATGGATGCGTGTCTTCATTAGTTTGTTTGGAGTACACACATTCTTCTGCGAAGTTTGTACCAAGAGGAACAGACAGAAACCAGGTGTCAGTTGGTGTACAGAATGTATTTGAGGAAGGTTTCGTGATACACTTGAGTGGAATTGTTGGCAGGAGTCCATCATAAGCTACCTCACAGCTAAGTTAGTTCACTGGAACAAATTATGTCTAACATGTAGGAATGGTAATCACGGACAAAAATAAAATAAAAATGGTTTAATGTTGACATACAACCACAAAATGGCTAACTTGTGAGAAATCGTTGTAAAATGATCTGAAATAGCCAGACTACAAATTTCTTAAAAAAAATGTCAACTAATAAAACATACAGCCAGCTTTGGCATGACCACATGCCAAAAATATACATTTTTTTTTTGTATTCATGAATATACATTTTTACATTCCATTTGAAAAGTTCAGAATTGCTCTCAACTTTGAGCTGCCCTCTCCAAAATGATAATCTTACAATTCATATATGTGTACAACCATTGTCATTACATACAGCAGATCCAAAT